TCCATACTGTCCTCCACGGCCTCCTAGGGAAGATTACTTGCCGGGGTGAAAATTCGGATCCACCAAACACAGGTAATGCTGTGCAGTGGCGGGATACGTATAGAACCGAATGGGGATTAAAAACCCTAGAAGATCAGTGTAAGGCGTAGCCGATGGGGCCTGCCATACTTTCTTATACTCATACTCATAATCAAACTCATAAACTTTATTTGTTTTATAAGAACAATATTTAAATAGTTGATTGTTTCGACCTTTACTTGATGAAACTCCATATTATTCATATATGAATAAAAACAACACTGTTTTAAAGTTTCACAATTTTATTTATGTTTTAATGATTAACAATTGTTTCGCTACACAGTAGCTTCTTCAGAATTAGTACATATTTTTATTTATATTAAAAAATGGCAGGTAATTTGAGAAAATAAGTGTTGTATAAACATTAGGTATACCTAAAGGTATTAATAAAACAATTTTGGAAAAAACTAAGGATTTGGAATGTTCTAATCTAATATAATTTTAAAATATTAATGAACATTATTTTTTTTTCTTAGGGTTCAATTCTTGGTCCTATCCTCTTTATTTTGTATGTTTGCCTTAATTTATTAAGAACATTTTTATGTATGCACTGCATACTATGCAGATGATACAGCTACAATTTATACATCTTATACAATAAATGATTTAATAACAACTATTTATTCAACACAAGAAAATATATTCCAGTGGTTTCAAAACAATGGCTTTAAGTTAAATGTGGACAAGACAGTATATAAAATTCGGAGAGTATGGGTTTGCCGAAAATATAATTAATATTAATAATTAATATTCAGTTGAATTAAGTCATTCAGTTAAATTCTTAGGTGTTATCTTGGACCAGAAATTTTCATGGAAGGATGAAACAGCCAATGTGTTAAAAAGAATTAACAAGTATCATAACTTTAGGTTTATTGTTTCAAGGACAGTTTTATTAAATGTATAATATGCCTTTATCTATTCCAATCTAAAATATGGCATAATTTTCTGGGACAATTCATCTCATACAAGGGGTTTATTTATTTTTCAGAAGGGAATTGTAAGGTGTGTTGCTTAAGAGCATATCTTGTAAACAGATGTGATTACTGTGTTAATGATTTTTTATTTTAGTTAAGAGTTTTTTGTATCTTTATAGTTTTTTAATGTTTACTTTGTTTTGAAGTGTTCTATATTGTACTTATTGCAATTTCTTTGAACAAATAAAAATATATCTATCTATTCTATAAATAATTTTTTATACATTATTATTATTATATGTATATATTTAATCAAAAAAATAATAAAATAAAAATATGTTTCAGGCAATTAACCAAATGTAATAATAAATTACATATTCCTAAACATCACGGTAGACATAATATTATTACTATAAATGGGATGTTACTATTTATACATACATTTGAACTAATAATAATGCAAATTAGCTCTATAAATCCCATTAAATTTATATTTTGAGGGAGTTAAAAATCAATTGTTATTAGATCAAAAAAACATTTAAGAAAATTACTGAAACTCGACTTAAATAGGTAGGATGTAATATCAAGCTTTTAAAAGACTGCCATGGCATGCCATAGCGAGTTGATCGAAATACACGATACATAAAAAAGTCCAACATAATTTATTTTGTTTGTAAAAATACTATTGACTTTATACAAAATCATATATTACCTATATTCTTGTTTATAAAGTAATGTCTCTTATTTGATTTTTTTTTAAATATCTTTGGTAGTAGGTAAGCTTTACTTTTGGTAATTTGCGAAAATAATTTATTTAGAAATTTAATATATTGTATTTGTTTATTTATTTAACTTTAGTTTTGCATCATTTTTAATGTAAAAGTATTTGTTTTTTTAATATAAAAACATCAATAGCCAAATTAAACATAGTACTGCAAAAATAGGCTTTGATTCATTTATTTTATTTTTGTAAATGTCAATGTTGAGCAATAAATTTTAATATTTATTAATATAATATACTAAGCAATAACAAAAGCAAAGAATGGTTTATATAAATATTTGTTTTTTTTATTGTAAATTTTTTTATCTTAGGATCTAAAATTAATTTGGACTAAAAAAAGGCGATATCGTTTTTATCGTTCTGACATGACAATTCCATAGAATAGTCCAAATTAAAATTCTGTCCAAATCCACGCTACGCCATTCATATGTCATTTGTTAAGGTGTTTTTTCTTGTACAAAATAGATTAACAAATTAATTTAGATTTTGACCATAAACCTGCTGCTAGTAGTCGTAGTAGTTTCAGGCTGGCTGCATATTATCTGGTCAACTGATTTAACCCTCAAATTTAAAACAAATCAAGATTATTGCCTATTTTTCTTAACCCGGATAATGCCACATTACCGAACTTCAGATTGTACAGTTTTTATAAAAATATTACCCAACTTCAGATTGTCCATTTTTTAAAGACCTATTCTTAATTATTTATTTAACCAATCATCACCATTGCATTTTATCTCTGTGTAAAATATTATTTACCTGTGTTTGTCATTTTCTGAAGCATGGACAATTAAAGGTAGGTTCTTTATTTATGTTTTCAACCTAATTCTTTTTAAACTCACATGGTAGAAAAACAGTCCAAATATTTCATTGCATAATATTTGAGGTAAGAAAACTTTATTTGTTGGGTGTTATTACCATTACCATTGTCAATGTTCTCCTTGGAAGCTAAACTGCCAGACAATATTGATATGTTTACACCTGATAACTCTAACAGTAAGAATAAAGATGAAGACTTAGGCCCTGAAGATACGGTTGTCATAAATTCCCTTCCTGGTAATAAAAAACACTGGATAATTCAGCAAAGGCAAAGGCATAAAAAACATTACCAAACAATAAAAAAGAGAGAAAGTGGATAAAAAAAGGATGTGTTGATCAATTTACCTTTCTGGAATCCTACAAGTTGACGCCTGTTTAATTATATTTTAATATTTCGATGATGAAGTAATCAATATTCTCGTCATAGAGTCATTCCAAATAAAAACACCAAATGGGGTGCGCTGCTTGATTTTTTATTTTGATAAAAAAAAATGATCTTTTAGGTATCAAATATGAAAATCCGTTGCCGTTTTAATTTTTGGATTCTTTACTATTAATCGGCACCCTTTGGAAATCTGAAATCGTGTCAATTTCTTACTCTCTTATAGTGGGCCAGAACTTTTTTCTGTGACAAATATTGAAATGATTTTAATTTTGTTTTACTGTTTAGTAAGTTTATTTTCGATATAAACTATTATTATCCAATTAGTTAATCTCATAAAAGAATGGTAAACCACTAAAGATTCATGATAATTTGCGATTTTTGTGATTTTTGTCTGGCTCCTGTGCCTATTCTACTAAATCTAGAAAGTTATTTTTTTTCATGTATCATGTACTAACATAACAAAGAAAATGATAGTCTAGAAACTTAAAATAATAGTTACGTTTTCTATTGTATAAGTAATTGATACCTGAAAAATAGCAATTTTCTAGATTTAGCAGAATAGACACAGGAGCCAGACAAAAATCACAAAAATTGGCAAAATATAACAAATCTTTAGTGGTTTGCCATCCTTTTATGAGATGAACTAATTAGATAATAATAATTAATATTGAAAACATACTTACTATGCAGTAAAATAAAATTACAATCATTTCAATAATTGCCACAGAAAGAAAGTTTTAGCCTCTTATAAGAGAGTAAGAAAATGACACGATTTCAGGTTTCTAAAGGGTGCCAATTAAAAATAAAGCAGCTAAAAATTAAAACGGCAACGGTTTTTCATATATGATACCTAAAAGATCATCCTCAAATTTTTTCATTTAAATAAAAAAGCACTTTTAAATTCATTTTTGGTGTTTTCATTTGGATTGAGTCTATATTCAAATAACCATACCGTATTACATACTAGTTTAGGTAATAGTACTGCAAATTAAGTTTGTTGTTTCATATATAGGTATTTTATTATTAAGCGAGTATGTAGATTTGCCAAGTCGTTCAATGTTTTGGAAGAATTTCTTAGTCACAGCAATTAATAAAAATCGCTTTTCATTTATTATGCAAAATTTGCATTAAAATAATTAAAATGATGCTGGCAGTTTAAATCAAATTAAATTTTTTTACCTCTAATTGATAATTAAGCCTTTAGAAGCTCAGTCGCTACAGGCCAAAAGGATACAAAGATCTTTGTATCCTAAGGCCTCGAGGCCTTAGTAAACCAGCGTCTAATTTACATGATAGGAAAGATCACTTAGTATTATTATGTCAGAAAAATTGTAACTTCTGTGAGAAATGCGAGTGGCCTTTCACCCAAAATTCTTCTTTGTTGATTACCATACGAAATAATTAATTATTTCTGAACTTTTGTATAGAATTAACTTGTATAATAAATAATTTTTAGTAAAGAAAACTTTTATTAAAATAGTAGTTGGAAATGCCACCGTTCTTTTAATAGAACATACCTTTTGGTCAAAACTATTAATAATACAAAAACATTTTTTTGACAAAATATGTTTACTATGAAGTTTTTAAAAGAACGAAATTAAAAAAAACTGCTTTTTAAACAAAAAGTAGTTTTGGTACTACCTGGGCTAAGAAGGTGTTTTGACGCGATTGTTTTTCTTGAACAACTACATGTAGTTTATTTTGAACACGTAAAATAAAATAAATTACTTTAGTATTGGGTTTAAAAACCTCATAAATAAAGAAATCGATTTATTGAATAAACTATATTTTTTATTTATTTTGTTTTGTGTGTACAAAATAATTTTTTTTTTAAATTACTTTAGTACAAAACTGTACATCTTAATTTTAATAGGTGGGTACGTTTGACAATATGCAAAATCAATAAAAGAAAATACACGTGCTTAGAATACATCAACACTTCGATAAAAATATCATTAATCATGCTAAATTTATCAATCAAAAAGCATCAAACTTAAGCCGACAACAACGGGAAAAAACGCACCTGTTAAGTATTTTATCGCGCCCCTGGAACAACAATAAAACCTAGTTTTTGCGTCTCACAATGAAAAGTTAGTCGATGAAGGTTTTAAACACTTTAATAAGTTAAGCGACTTTACGTTAATTGTTTTTTTTCTGCAACGTGGGTGCTCCCTGCCAGGATTCAGAACGGACGCACACTGTCGATTTGTTTTCCTGTAGGATGCGTTGTTATATGCGAGCGGAGATGAATCAAATGTCGCGCAAGCGTTTATTAACTCAGCTATTTTTGTTTGATCGTAAAACGTTTACTTCTTGTTGATTTGTTCATTGTCGCCTTCATATTTTTTAATAAATATTTTTCCTATTTTCTAACCTGTTTTTTTGTTATTTAATTTAATTGTATTTTAATTTTATTTTTGAAATTTTTGTTGTCTTAATTTGATAAATGCTTTTATTGGGAATATAACCATATAGGTAATTTCTAGGAATGGGATATTTAGGTACTAAAAACTGAAAAATAGGTAACTAAAAAGGTACTAAAAAAAGCATTTTAGGTTAAAAAAACAGCATTTTAGGTAAAAAAAATCATTAAAAGTTTAAGTTTCGTTTATAATTTTGTTTAGCCGCATACCCAAACACAGAACATACCCACAATAAACTATTTCTGTGCAATAAACTGTGTTTTACTGAGTGACACTCACTACACAGAAGTTCTATGACAGAACATAAGCTCACTAGTATTGAGTCACTACAAAGAAGGTAACTGTAAAGAAAGTTACTGTTACAGTCTGTTACCATAAGAAAAAATTCTATACCGTTGAGTTGCACGCCCTGGATAAAATATTGGCGCAAATTATAAAAAGAACAAAAAAAATAAAATAAGTAAAAATAGGTAACAAATATGTGAAAATAAACTGACAAATTAAAAAATAAAAAGTATAAAAAGGTAGTTTAAAGCAAAAACCTCCATAAAAGGTAAAAAAGGTGAAAAAAAGTTAGGTTCATATGAAAGAAAATCTTTTAAAACACATTTTGGCATTATTGGTTTTCAAATAGTTAAATCGGTTAAAAAAAGGTAAAATAACTTAAATCCCATCCCTAGTAAGTTCATATCAAATCAACCAAAAAAAGGTAAATTTTGTTTTCAATATCTCCGATTTTGATTATTTAAGGTAAAGTTGTAGTTTTTCTTTTAAGGATTTTAAAAAATCAAAAAATGTACCAATTTTGCCTCTGCAGGCCCCTAAAACAATAGATATATCGCAGGAACTGCTTATCACATGTGAGCATTGATTAATAGCTTGTTTTAAAGGTCTTTGAAGCATTTTCAGAAAAGTTAACACATGATATACTTTTTCTTTAATAAAAATGGGATTTTTGATTTTTTAATTTCTTAAAAACATAATTTTTAATTTTTTTCATTCATTCTTTTCATTTATGTTTAAGTATGAAAATTACCAGATTTCAGAATGGAGAAATGAAAAGTTCAGTTAAAAAAGATTAAAGCCTTCTCTCTAAAAATGACTAATTTAATAGTTATAAGTGGCTGCTTTTTCACTGGTACCATGGTTAACCATAAAATACCATGGTATCCCAAAATTTAACAGCCAATTTTTATATAAAAATGAAAATGATCTTAAAATATTAAAAAAAATATTTTTTTTAAAATAACAAAATTAATTACCTGATTATATTAACAGTACAGTAAAGACATCCACATTACTAAACTAATCGACAAACCTCAGCAACCCAGCGTCATAATTGTTTGCGCATACCGAATATATTTTCAGTTTTTTTATTAGTTGCATACTACAAATGAAATTACAATATATGATAGCTCTGATTCCAGAGCTATAATATATTGTAAACAGACACTTAAATATAAAATTAAAACAGACCACAAAAGAGATAAATAAAAATGCAAAAAAGTCCTACGTGCATTCTGGTTGCTGCCCTACGAGAAATTACTTAATTTTCATCTTAAAATCTTTTATTGTTTAGTTTCCCAATGGGTCTTGCGAAGTACTATTTTGTCTTGAAACTTTCTTTTGGGGTGCAATTTTATATTTTACATTGAAATTGATTTATTATACATATGTATATTATGAATTGAAAATATTTGTTGTCGTTATAGATATTTTTCTGTCGTCGAAATGACCAAATTTGTCGTTGATACACCTTTTTTGCGGGGCCAATAAATTAAACCCCTATTATATATAACATATACGTGTAACTACATTTTCATCCAATTTGTAATTTTTTTCGTCATCTATATTTTGTTATTCCTATGGTCGCCATATTGGAATTTTACAAGGTTATCAAGGAATTCAACAATGTATCAAACTACATAAGTTAACAAAATATCTTGATGAAAAAATTGAATTATTGTGTGTTTAGATGTAAAACATTCTTTTTTAATTTTCAGGAATAACAGATTTAAAAGGTTCTTTTTCAAATATTTTAAGAACCTCTGGATTTATTCCAACTTAAATTGTTCAGAAGAAAATATTTTTAGAAAGGTGATGTGGGTTACTGAGATAAGCATACTAAACAGAATAGCTATTTACATACCATTTCCTCCCGCGAATAGTTTGATGCCCGACGCGAAGCAAAGGGCATTAAATATTCAAGGGAGGGAACGCATTTTCCTCCTGAGGTATGTATATAGTTTTTTCTATTACCTTTTAACGGTTTTAAGACATTTTAAGCGTTCCGGTTCCTTTTACTAACCCGGTATGGGGCTATAAAATTATGACAAAATATTAGGTATTGCGTCGCCGACGTTATGTTGACAACGCTTTGTTGCTATGGTATTTTTGGTAAGACAGTTTTTATAAGCTGTCAAAATGTTTATCATAAATTTGAAATTCTTCGTACGTTTTGAAAATAAGTTCTAGCGAAGAAGACCTGCCGCATGATCTTGCTAAAGAGGCAAGAATAGTTGCAATTAATTTCCTTTCTTAAAAATCGAAAGAGCGATATGAAAATGAATACATATAGTTTGTTAAAAGAATGGTTGGACAAGCGCGGAGTAAATCTTTTTTCTACAAAATCAAATAGGGCTAGACAAGGTAAAAAAACTCTTGCTAATGTAAAATAGTTGAAAAAAAAAGAGGGAGGAAAATTTTTTTCCTCCCGGGGAGGAAAAGTGGCATTTTCCTCCCTCGCTCGGGGGTGGAAAATTAACTTTTCTAGTAAGGTAGTAGAAAAAATATTTGTTTTACCTATATATGTATAACCTTAATTATATTTTTCATACACATGTACAAAATCCTACTGAAGGGCTGGTAGTGGGTGGAATATAATATAGTATGAACATTTAATTTTAAGGGTACATTCACAAGTATAAAAACCACATTTTCATTGCTATTAGTAATAGCAATTGCTTTTAGTAATAACCTATTACATGAACAATTCCAACAAAAAATCTTAAACATATTATTTTAACTCCACCCTTTTCAGGGATGAATAAATAAAAACTTTAAGTCAAAATTAAATATTTTATATAAAAAATTATTTAGAAACAAAAATAGTGCTACCAATATAAAACCTGGTAAATTCTTAATTGAAGTGTTTATTATGCGTAATAATAGGGAAGTGTAAAAAATGGAGAACAATTAAAATAGTTTAAGCTTTTAATTTGATTCTTCACCTTACTAAAGCTTAGCGTTAATTACATTTGAGTTAAGAAAAAATAAATAAGTTTTTAATAAACTAAACTCAAATCAAATAAGGAATAACAATAAAATTATAATAAATTACTTAAGTATGAATTATTTTTTATATGCATAAATTGTAAAAAGGATACATTTTTGGTTAAAATACATCGGTAAAACATTTTCCATGACAATATTTAAGTTAAATTTCCCTAATGAAGATTTAATTGTCAAAACTCATTTTGTAGTTTAGGTATATGGGTGATTCTCAAAATAACTACACTTTCGGTTTATTATTTTTTTAATACTAAAAAGTTTGGTAATATTATTACAAGAGCATTTTTGTAAAGCTTTAGTTAAATCCTAAACTAAAATAAGATTGATATTGCATGCAAACCTTAATTTTTCTATTTATGGGTAAATTATGTCCACAGAAAAGACGTCCACTGAATGGACATCTATGTATATTATTCTCTATAAGAAAGGTAAATTTTATGTTATGCCTTCGCATTTGTCATGTGCCAAAAATAAAAACTTTGACAATAATAATGACAATAATTAGAAAATAATTCAATACTTACTATTTGAAATATAATTGTAACAGAAAGGACAGCCTATGCTTCTACACTGGAGCCTCGTACATAAACATGAACGCTTCTTTACAACCTTTCAAAAAAGAACTGACAAGGGCGACTTAAATAACAAATGACAGGTTTTTTAATGACATAAAATTAACGGTTGACGTGAGTGGCGCGAAATACTTTTGAAATTTTGCACTTACAAATAAGTCCTCGGAATGGATCGAAACTGGTAACGTATAAATGACTAAACTACAATATTAAATTAAAAAGAATAAAAAGGAATATGAACCATATCTATGTATTTTTGGGGTATTTAATAATAATGGCAATTTTTTAGGTTTTTTTAATATGCAGGCTTTTCACTACATTAACTGAAACTTACCAACACGATATAGTCACGTTCCACGGAAAGGACAATATCTCTATTCAGATCAGTTTTTTGGGCGGTATTTTTTTTCTTATTTTTTTTTTACTTAAAGTACTGTTGGTTAACGTTGTGTACTTTAAAAATGTTACTTATTTTTACCATTTTTTTTTAATATGGGAAAAAAAACACACGTCACGCAAAGATTGTAGTTATTTTGAGAATAACCCATATGTACCTACTCGATATTTTTTATTTAAGTTGTCTTTCATTTTGTTTTTTAAACTTTGTTTTCAGTTGATTTATTGACTCTCAAAGTAAGTTAGTGAGATCTAAATAAATTTAAACACTTTTAAACAAAAAAAGTTTTCCCAGGAGAAACTTAACTTTTTACCTACATGTATACGATTAAAAGAAACGACACGTTCTTTATTTTATTTTAAGCTGTAAGTAAACATAATTACGCGCGCATACATTCTACTGAATAACATTTTAAGTAAATAGTAACTAGGTTTTCTTTATAAAACAAATGTTTATATCATAAAGTTTATGCAATATTTTATTTCTGTATTATTTTGTTAC